ATGTATTTCGACTGAAAAAAACATTTACATCAGAAATACTAAATAATACATTACAGTCTGCCTTTATAAATGGTGATCACTACTTATTTACGCTTCATTCTTTAATCAGCCAGTAATAACATCAGTTTCAATGTACCTTAATTCCTAGATACTGTCAAAAATAATTCGCTGAACATTTGTATACATTACATTCATTGTTGAGCACTAAACCCATATGGGGTCTTATAGCACCTGGGGTAACAGAAGTTATTCTGGTTCGATAAAAAGAGGGGGAAGGCAGGGTTAAATCTTTGGATTAAGAGTCCTCCCTCCCTCATTTTGATCAAGGAACCCTCCTTTGAGGGGATATTTCTATATATTAACCATTAACTGTGCCTCCCATAAGTTTATACAAGGAACATTTCTGTATCCTGCAAATTTACACGGAATTATCGTGCCTTCAAATTTTATGCCAGCCGACATTTCCTGCCTGAACTCAAGTGACGGGGTGTCCTACCATTGTCACACCTAGGAAAAAATTTAAGACCAGGCTGGTTCATAAAGTGCATCATGGGTAATGATGACTTAGAAGGACGTGTCAATACAGGCAGGCCCCACTTCCACAGCAGGTTAGGTTCTGGGCTACTGCTATAAAGCAAAAATCACTGTAATGTGAAGCATATTATTATAATCAAAAAGAAGCGCTAAACCACAAGGACTATACAGCACATGTGAAGCATAGCCTTGCTCTAGTTTTAGGTGCAAGATATTGTGGTCTTCTGTATCAAATACTTTCTGTAGGTCTATGAAGAGCCCCAGAGGATATTCATTTTTTTCAAGTGCTGTATACAGTAATTTGAGCATCTGAATAATTGCATTATTCGTGCTTTTTTTTTTTATCCTAAACCCAAACTGGCAGAGGTTCAGTATGTAGGATAGGAGGTAGGAGTAGATTTGTTTACGTATTATTTTTCAAAGATTTTAGAGAGAAAAGGCAAGTTATTTAGTTCTCTTGGATCGCCTCCTTTGAAGATCGGGGTGACCCTTGCTATCTTGAGTATGGATGGGAATGCTGAAGATTCAACAGATTTGTTAAGTGTTGCAATAATGGGGGACAGCACAGAAAGCCCCTTATGCAGAACACTACGGGCAAATTAGGTCAATTTCGTCCCAGGATGCGACCAATGCCAGTCACCTAACACCCAGGTACCTATTTTACTGATAGGTAAACCTAGACAGTAGGTGCCCTACAGAAGCATGTCCTAATGTTTCCACCCTCACCGGGGATTGACACCCAGACCTCAGTGCGAAAGCTGAGTGTGGTAGCAATTGAGCTATGGGACATAAAATGACAAAAAAAAAAAAAAAAAAAAATTTGAGGAGTCCCTCTCACATATGCCTCAAAAAGCAAAATAAGAATGATGCCTTGGCTAAATTATCAATAAACAAGAATGTTGAATATAGGTTTGGTTTCTCAAACATGTTTGAAAACTACTGTTAGAAAAGATGATTTTGTATGGATTATTAACCCAGGATAACCCATCAAAGTCAGGATGTCATCCAGAACTTTGTCTTATTTCCATTAAGATCCTCTAATCCTCAGGAAGTGACCCACACCAGACTCTTAGCAGCCAGGTACCTACTTACTGTTAATAATAATAATCTTCATTTCTACAAGTACATGTACAACATATACAGGCCTAGCTGACATAAGTGACATGCTACTATATAGAAAGCCTCTCATTTTGCAGAGCATTTCAGGCAAATTAGGTCATTTTTGTTCCCAGGATGCGACCACACCAGTCAGTTAACAGCAAGGTACTTATCTACTGCTAGGTAAGCTGATGTCCTAATGAAACACATCCTACCATTTCTACCCATACTGGGGATCAAACCACAAACCTCAGTGTGTGAGCTAAGTGTGCTAGCAATCAGGCTACAGGACATGTTAGGTAAGCAAGACAGGTGTGAGGAAACACTCCAAAACATTTCCACTCATACTGGGATTGATCCCTGGTCCTTCAGTGTGCAAGCTGAAGCAGCTGCCCATATCATCCATAGCTCAGGTAATCATGGCTCAGTTGATAGCATCCTCAACTCACACATTGAGGAATCAAGGCTCACTCCCTGACATAGGATAAACACTGAACACGTTTATCCTATGTCAGGGATAAATATGCTGCCTGTTCACCTAGCAGAAAGTACCTGGATGTTAGTTGACTGTTGTGGGTCACGTCCTGGGGAAGATTAATGGACCCCAATGGAAATAAGACCAACAGGCCCCGATGACAAACTTTATTGGATTATGGAAATATAAACACTTAACCCTTAAACTGTCCAAACATAGACCTACGTTCGCTCGCATAGTGCTCCGAAAGTAGATCTACTTTTTTTACATGCTTTCAGATGGAGAAAATCAAGGTCGGAGCGATATGTGCGTAAACGTAGATCTATGTTTGGACAGTTTAAGGGTTAAGCAGTATAATGTGATCCTTTATTGACAACATTTCACCCATGCAGTGGGCTTTATCAAGTCATAAACAGATCTACCTGGGTGAAACATATGCGAGTATTTATAAGATGAGAATGCTGGGTCAGGTGGAGAAAGCTGCATGTGACAATCTTCCAAGTAAGGTGATAGAATCTAAAAACCTGGGTAGCGTTTAAGAGAGATTGGATAAGTACATGAGTAGACCTTCTGCAGTGTTCCTCGATTCTTATGTTATGTGGTATAGCAATGAAGAAGTTCCTTGGCAAGGGGTTCAGCTATGTTACAAAAGCTGTTGTTCTGGTTTAAGTTGCTGGGCGTACAGATAAGTGATGATTCCAGGATTCTTCGGTATCGAGTGTTGTCTTCTCTGGCGATAAGTTTCTGTAGCTGATTAAGTGGTTCTGTGTATTTCGGTGTTGAACACAGGAATTCTTTGGATTGTCAGATCTGCCTGCCTACTGGTGTTCTGAAATATGTTTGGAGGTCTCTGGATGTTTTGCCAACGTATAATTTGGTGGTGGATGTGGAGGCAGATACTTGGAATAAAGTTTTGAAAAAGATGTTGGAAACGTGTTTGGCAATGGAGTTGGTGGGGAGGACTATGTATCTCTTCTCAGCAGTGTCTTCTCTGGGTGTGTTAAAGATATTTAATGCCCGCCATCTGCAGTCTCTAATGAGGTGACGAGGATAGTGAAGTTTAGAAAATACTTGTTCAATAGGAGAGTATTCTTCCTCAAGGAACTCTCTGCTGCAGATTCTAAGTGCATGCAGGAAAAAGCCTATAATTACACCACGTTTAGTTTTAGTGTCGTGGTGAGAGTAGAAGTGCAGAAGATCGTGCTGGTTGGTAGGTTTTCGATAGACTTTAAAATGAAGTTCACGGTCAGCCTTGCAGAGAAGAACATCGAGGAAAGGAAGTGTTGTTGACTTCTTCTTCTAGTGTGAACTGGATAGAGGGCTCGACCTGGTTGAGCTTGTGTTGGAGAACTTGAACGTTGAAGAGTCTGGGAGTTATGATGAGAATGTCGTCAACATAACGGAGCCAGGTGACAGAAGAGGGAATAATAGTGGAGAAACACTCGGTTTCCAGATGTTCTTGGGCGTCTACCCCTCCAGGTTAAAAATCCAAACAAAAATATTATTTGTAGTAATAATGTACAGCAGTAAACTTCAAATATACAGTTTTGTTGGACTCAGGAGAGGTAAATTTATCATCATTGGTACACGCAAGGGCTCCAATGGAAATAAAGTCACTTCGACGTTTTTGGGTTATCCTAGGTAATCTACACATGTGCTGCAATGTATGATAATTTATGTAACTGTATTTATGTATACCTATACCTGAATAAACTTATTTACACTTGCCAACATGCTGGACACTTACCCTGTGACATCACATGCAAACATGCTTTAGGTTCTAAAGTGACATCACATTTAGTTTGCACCTGAATGCTCTGCTGGGTTTTATTCTAGAACAGGCAGAAATGCTGAGCATGTTACATGTGCTGCCATTGTTCACCTAGCAGGTGTAGGTACCTGGGTGTTGACTGACTATTATAATCAAGGGGGAAGCTCTAAACCGGTAGGATTATACAGCGCCTGTGGGAGGGTGATGTGGAAGGTATTCAGGCTTAATTCAGGGAACTGCAGCACAGATCCAATTCCCCAGATCAAGAGCCCCTCACCAGCGTCAAGGAAGCTTCCTTGTGAGGACCAACTGCTGTAGGTCACATCCTGTACGATGAGAATCAAAGAACCCCATGGAAATAAGCCAGACCGTGGCTTGACTGGGTTATCCCGAGATATTAACCCTCTGCATCAATCCGAATCAAATCTATATTTCTATCTGTATTTCACGAGGAGGGGGAAGGGACAACGCTAAACCCATAGGGGTCATACAATGCCCTGGGAAATGGGAGGATGGTTCAAATTCTCTGGATCAAGAGCCCTTCAGCCACATCAAGACACCTCCACGAAGGGTTTTAGAGGTGTAACATTGAAGTGTCAGCAGATGGATCATACCTCAGTCTCCTTGTTGTTACGTATCCCACGCACCAGATCCGTCAAGTTCTTGTCAAACATGCGCTCCAGGTTCCCCTTCACCTTCCTCAGCGCCATTTTCTAGAGATTACCAGTAGAATTACTATCGGGATGACACGAAAAATACTACATAATATTCAGCCAGAAGCAATCATGCCTGTCAGCAGCGAACAGATGTTGTCACTGGGGAGCACAGGTAGTGGGGCAGGTCATGTGACCCGTGACGTTGCTGCTTCCCACAAGCCTCAGTGCAGGCAACAAATGACACATACATTAGGCACTCAAATCACCTGAGGTGTAGGTGCCTGAGAACGTAAGAATGTAGGAGCACTGGGTAGGCCTACTGGACCAAACTAGGCGCAGTGCTCCTCTGTTCTTAGGCACCCCACATCTTATTCACTTGCACCTCATTCACCCTCACAACCTGTACCACATTCACCCTCACAATCTGCACCTCATTCACCCTCACAACTTGCACCCCATTCACCCTCACCACTTGTACCTCATTCACCCTCACAACCTGCACCTCATTCACCCTCACAACCTGCACCTCATTTACTGCGGCCAGCAGTAACAGCCTAGTTGATCAGGCCCTGATCCATCGGGAGGCCTGGTCATGGACCGGGCCGCGGGGGCGTTGATCCCCGGAATAACCTCCAGGTAACCATATAACCCTCAGAACATGCACCTCATTCACCCTCACCACCTACACCTCATTCACCCTCACAACCTGCACTTCATTCACCCTCACAACCTGCACCTCATTTACCCTCAGAACATGCACCTCATTCACCCTCACCACCTGCACCTCATTCACCCTCACAACCTGCACCTCATTCACCCTCACAACTTGCACCTCATTCACCCTCACAACCTGCACCTCATTCACCCTCACAACCTGCACCTCATTCACCCTCTCCACCTGCACCTCATTCACCCTCACCAATTGTACCTCATTCACCCTCACAACCTACACCTCATTCACCCTCACAACCTGCACCTCATTTACCCTCACAACCTGCACCTCATTCACCCTCACAACCTGCACATCATTCACCCTCACAACCTGCACCTCATTCACCCTCAGAACATGCACCTCATTCACCCTCACCACCTGCCTCATTCACCCTCACAACCTGCACCTCATTTCACCCTCACAACTTGCACCTCATTCACCCTCACAACCTGCACCTCATTCACCATCACAACAGGCACCTCATTCACCCTCACAACCTGCACCTCATTTACCCTCGCCATTTGTACCTCATTCACCCTCAACCTGCACCTCATTCACCCTCACAACCTACACCTCATTCACCCTCATAACCTGCACCTCATTCACCCTCACAACCTGCATCTCATTTACCTTCACAACCTGCACCTCATTCACCCTCACAACTTGCACCTCATTCACCCTCACAACCTGCACCTCATTCGCCCTCACAACCTGCACCTCATTCATCCTCACAACCTTCACCTCATTCACCCTCACAACTTGCACCTCATTCACCCTCACAACCTGCGCCTCATTCACCCTCACAACCTGCACCTCATTCACCCTCACAACCTGCACCTCATTTACCCTCACCACTTGAACCATCATTCACCCTCAACCTACACCTTATTCACCCTTTTAACCTGCACCTCATTCACCCTCCCAACCTGCACCTCATTTACCCTCACAACCTGCACCTCATTCCCCCTCACAACCTGCACCTCATTCACCCTCACAACCTGCACGTCATTCACCCTCACAACCTGCACCTCATATACCGTCACAACCTGCACCTCATTCACCCTCAGAACATGCACCTCATTCATTTTCACTACCTGTACCTCATTCACCCTCACCACCTGCACCTCATGCACACACCACCTGTACCTGATGTGACTATAATGATACCCTGTGGCCTGGTGGCAAAAGCTCTTGTTTTACACGGTGAGGGTTCGGGTTCGATTCCTGGCGAAGTGGTGGAAACATCGGACGTGTTTCCCTACGCCGATTGTCTATGTTCACACATCATAAAATGGGTACCTGGGTGTTAGTGGATTGGTGTGGGTCGCATCCTGGGACTAAACTGACCTAATTTGTCCGAAATGCTCTGAATAACAAGCGGCTTTCTATATAGTATGTCACTGATGTCAGCTAGGCCTGTATACCTTGTACATGTGAAACTAAGACACATGTGCAACATCTGGGTATCTTTATTGTAGACGTTTCGCCATCCAGTGGCTTTATCAATACAAATTCCAGGACATAACTTGAAGACAGTAGAACTATGTACAGAAGATGAGGTAATCAGTCCCTCAACCTTGGAGTTGGTGCGAAGAGCACCGTACGGTGCTTGATAAAGCTCCTGGAGAGCGAAACGTTGCCATAATAAAATGTCACATTAGTTGCACGTGTATCCTTTTACTTTACAAGCTGGCACTGGACAAGCGCCTAAAGTCGGTTCTTGACCAGCCGGGCTGTGGCTCGTACGTTGGTTTGCGTGCAGCCAGCAGCAACAGCCTGGTTGATCAGGCTCTGATCCACCAGGAGGCCTGGTCACAGACCGGGCCGCGGAGGCGTTGACCCCCGGAACTCTCTCCAGGTAATTCTACCAACTTTATTACAGCAATATAGTAGCAGTAGTGGTAGTAGTACAGCAGTAGTAGTGGTAGTAGTATAGTAGTAGTGGTGGTGGTAGTAAATGCGGTGAGACTCCTGCCACTATATATACTAATTTTCTTAGTTATTCCTGTATTAGGACTGAAGAAACCACTCGTGGTGAAACGTTTCCTTTAATAAATGTCCTGAACTGTACTTAAGTGTGTATGATAAATGATTTCGAAAACCGGCAAGTTGAAGATCATTAGTTGAAGAACATCAAGGAAAGGAAGAGTGTTGTCGACTTCTTCTTCAAGTGTGAACTGGATTGAGGGCTCGACCTGGTTGAGCTTGTCTTGGAGAGCTTGAACGTTGAAGCGTCTGGGAGTTATGAGGAGAATGTCATCAACATAACGAAGCCAGGTGACAGTCGAAGGGATAATGGTGGAGAAACGCTCGGCTTCCAGATGTTCCATGTATAAGTTCGCCAGGACGGCACTGAGTGGCGAGCCCATGGGTAGTCCAAAAGTCTGCTGAAAGAGGTGGTTTTCGAAAGAGAAACACGTAAAGCCGACACATAGCTCAACGAGGTCGATGAAATCGCTGGCTGGAATAGGAAGATCAAGTGAATCGTCAATTTTCCTGCGCAGACTTTTGGACTACACATGGGCTCGCCACTCAGTGCCGTCCTGGCGAACTTATACATGGAACATCTGGAAGCCGAGCGTTTCTCCACCATTATTCCTTCGACTGTCACCTGGCTCCGTTATGTTGATGACATTCTCCTCATAACTCCCAGACGCTTCAACGTTCAAGCTCTCCAAGACAAGCCCAACCAGGTCGAGCCCTCAATCCAGTTCATACTTGAAGAAGAAGTCGACAACACTCTTCCTTTCGTTGATGTTCTTCTCTGCAAAGCTGACCATGAACTTCGTTTTAAAGTCTATCGAAAGCCCACCAACCAAACTATCTTCTCCACTTCTACTCTCACCACAACACCAAAACTAAACGTGGTGTAATTATAGGCTTCTTCCTGCGCACTCAGAATCTGCAGCAATGAGTTCCTTGAGGAAGAATGCACTATAATTAAACAAGTATTTTTCTAAACTCCACTATCCTTGTCACTTCATCAGAGACTGCAGACGGCGGGCATTAAACATCTTCAACACACCCAGAAAACATTAAAATGGTATAAAATACCGACAGGTTGTTAGGTAAGACACATATGCAACAGTTAGATATCTTTATTATGAAACGTTTCGCCTACACAGTAGGCTTCTTCAGTCGAGTACAGAAAAGTTGATAGAAGCAGAAGAGACTTGAAGACGATGTAATCAGTCCATCACCCTTAAAGTTTTGAGGTGGTCAGTCCCTCAGTCTGGAGAAGAGCATTGTTCCAAAGTTTGAAACAATATGGAGATGAAGTGACAGGATGGAGCCTTATATATTGCGAAACGTTTCCAGAATAAAGATTCCCATATGTTGCATAAGTATCTCAATCTTCAACAATATTCTTCTCCAGACTGAGGGACTGACCACCTCAAAACTTCAAGGGTGATGGACTGATTACATCGTCTTCACGTCTTCTGCTTCTATCAACTTTTCTGTGTCTTACCTAACAACTTGTCGGTATTTTATACCATTTCGATGTTCACATGTGTCTAATTTATCAACGTGTCGGTTCTGTGAACCATTCATCTACAATACAGATTGTTTCACGCGTCTACAACTCTGAAAACAAGTACTTACCTACGTCCTTTCTCAATCTAAATTTATCTAATTTAAAATCGTTATTTCTGGTTCTTACCTGATTCGACATCCACTTATGGTTCAGGGAACCGGCAAGTTGATAAAGTAGACAGTGTGAAACACTTGGGTATCTTTACTGAGGAAACATTTCGTCACACAGTGGCTTCATTAGTCTTATAGTACAAAGATTTTAGATTTTTAGATTTTGCCACCGAAGTGGCTAGTTTATTATGCACCCCATATCCATCCTGTGGACGGTAGCGCGAGAGCATATGGATACACAAAAGGCCTAGGAACTAGGCCCCAAAGGGTTAACAGGAATACATATGGATTTATATCTACATATCTATAGTTCACTTATCTGTTACAAGCAAATTTAGGAAATTTGCTTAGTATATCTGGTATCTTATTTTCATTAATAAGATATCTTGACATGTCACATAGGTTATTATACTGTCTGTCTCTGTATTCCTCAGTAAGTGGACAATTAAGCACATAGTGTTCAAGAGAATGACCATATGCCTGATCACATAATTTACATTTAGTTTGATCATCATCTGTGTGTCTCCCAAACTGCCAGAAGTACTTATAACCAAGCCTAAGCCTGGCCACTACAACATCAGTCAGTCTGTTCACATTGCAAGTTGCTCCATAAACATACTTATCTACGTTCATGTTATCATAGTGGGTTATAGATCTACTCAGGCTTCTAACTGCATTCCTATAACAATCATTTTTCATTATTTACTTCTCTCCTAATATTATTCCTAATGCTAGACACAGTTATACCAAAGTTATATTCTACATTCTCCTTCTCGATACTCTTCTTGGCTAACATATCAACTTTATCATGAAGGAGTAATCCAATGTGTGATG